TTTTAAGATGAATTTTGCCTCTCTTGATTTCTTGATGATAAAGTTTCATATCTTTGAATGTCTTGATGAAATGTGATCTTTGAAACTCAATTTTGACTAAAAAGTTAAAGTTTGACTTTTGGTGTATCAGTTGACTGAATTTCAACTATCAATCAATTGATCTTGAGAAATGAATTGAGATATGTAATTAGGTCAAAATAATGAATTTGAATCCTTGAGATCATGTTTCAAACCAATAAATCATGTATTAGGTCAAAAGTCAAAGATTAGCCATTTTCAGTCAAAACCATAATTTTGACTATTTTGCCCTTTTGGTGATTTGTACGTTTTTTTGGGGAATTGTGATCCAAACTTGATCAATTGATACATATGACTTCAAAATGTTGATATTGGTCCAAAATATTGAAGTTTGACTATAGGTTGACCACAATTGATTTTTTACCTAATATAACTAATTTTAGGTCATCTGATCAATTGACTGAGCAATTTTGTGATCCAAGACTTGGAACTTGTCATGAGAAATCTTGAGGGTCCATAATGATCCATGAAAGTCATTTGAAGTATTAGAAGTCCAATTGTTTCTATGCAAACTCAAACCCTAATTTGAGGTATCAATGTTAAGGAGATGGCTTGACTTAACCAATACTTGTGTAAGCTTGAAACATTGAAGATCTTTGTGAGAAATATCTTGAGAAAAGAGAGGGCAAATTTTGAGATACAACAATTGGGATGAGTCAAAAAGATGCCTATGTTGATGATGAAGCCCAATCTTTAAAGAGCTATGCTTCCTCTTAAGTACCCGATTGGGCATGGTATAGTCAGTAAATGGGATGACATGGAAAAGATCTGGCATCACACATTTTACGATGAATTGCGTGTTGCTCCTGAGGAGCACCAAGTGCTTCTAACTGAGGCTCCATTGAACCCAAAATGCTTAGAGAAAAGATTATCCAAATCATGTTTGAGACCTTCAATGTATCTGCCATGTATGTGGCCATTCAGGCTGTTACTGAATCAACACAAGTTGTTAAACTGATCGACAAAACAAAACTGGCAGCAATATATATTTGAGAAAACCTTATCTAAACACTTGGGATATAACAATATTGTGAAAACAATATTTTCCTTGGGATATTTACTGTGCCTGCTTCAAATTTTACATCAACAATATTGTGCCTGCTTATGTCATATTATAACAATATTTGATAAAACTTTCTCATAATTACTTGGGATATAGAAGATTTGTTTTAAAAAGATGATGTTGTAATGACTATGAAGTATCTTTTTATGCATTACATTATTGATTTGAATTGTGTGGTTTTACTAATGCATGCAATGAAGGCTAGACATTGACCTTCAATTTTCAGCATATTGGTATTGATGTGAAGAAGCATGTCTTGCTTGGTGTATCTGACTAAGAATGCCAGAGTACTATTCTAATGATTGAGTAGTGCAATGAATTCCAATTGCCATTTATGTGATGTCCTTGTGTTTGGTTGTTTCTTTGGCTTAAATATACTAAATCATACATAGTATTAATAAGTGATAAGAAATTAGTTTCATAGTTACTGTATTTTATTTGATATGGTCCACAAAGTTAAACAAAAAATTAATGAGAAAGGAAAAAACAATATAATCAAATGATTGGTAAGGTTATTTTAGAAAAAACTATATATATCATAGATGTAAATTTCATATATTATTATTTTATTAATATAATAATTTAATTTTAATCTTTATTAATTAAATTATTAAGATTATCTAAAAGTTATTATGTTAATTATCAAACATTAAAATTAAGATTGACTTTCTTTATAAAACACAATTTTAACTTAAGATTAAAAAATACTATTAAAATTCTAATTTTAACAATTAAACTTAACTCAAATTTATAAATAAATTAACAAAAATTAAAAAAAAAACAAGTAGTTAAAAGATTAAACTAATAATATTTTAAATTTGTGATGATGAAATGTCATAAAAAAAGTCATTTGAAATACACAGTGTGGAGTTTTGAATGAAAAAAATATATAATTCAAGTATTAAACTGAAAAGAATTATTAATTGGCAGAAATAACAACAATTAAATATGACGATAATTAAGATTGATTTAAGTTTTTTAAAGAAAATTTAATCTAATAGTAGGAATTATATGTATAATCTATATACAAAAGAAAGGTACATATGTCTCTCTTATTTTTATTTGTTTTTCTCACCTGAGATTGTATTTTTGTGTGTAGGTCTCCTTCGTCAATTCAAATTTATTTAATTTTGTTTTGAAAACTCATTACTATAAGATAAAAATAATGATTTTATCTTTTTTAATACTAAGACTCATTACACTACTATGATGAAAATAATGACTAAATATATTAATTATTTATTAAATTAAAAAAAATATTTTTTCTCTTATAAAAAAAAAGATATAGTATTATTTTTTAAAGCTATTTAATAAAGTAATTACTATCATGTTTTTGAATAGAATACATTATTTTGGGCCGGATTATATAAATACAATAGAATATGCGATAAAAATAAGTTCTCCATGGTTGAGTAGCTAGCCCTCTAAAATTGTAATGTAATATAAATGACTTTAGTACTATCACAAATTAGTTTCTATATAAAACACATAAGATATGGACTAACAATATTTTGATAAATGATAAAATAATACAAGATTTTGAGGAAAAAGATGAGATAAAATATACAATATTTTATTCAATTTTGTTTGTGTCCACTAATCTCTGTTATATAATTAAAACAATAATTATATAATTAAATGGAGAGAAATTAAAAGTTTTTTTTTTCAATTACCTTAAATTTAATGAAAATGAAAATTATATTCAATAGTTTTTAATATATTTATTTGTAAATTAATTTTAATCAATTATATTAAATAGTTATTACTAATTAAAATATATAATTTGTTTGAATATTTCTTCATTATAATTTGTCAATTTAAATTTTTTATTATTATAAAATATTTTTATTATTATCAAATATTTTTAAGCAATGTTATTTTTATAAACAGGACTAAGTTTATTATTGTTGATTCAAATTTTAATTTATTATTTTTTAAAACACGGGTACTGATATGATATGCACATATAGTAGTGATATTAAGTTATTGATTTAAATATTAAATAATAAAAAGAACAGTTTAATATTAATTTAAATATTTTTATAAATAATTCTTAAACAAAATTATATATATATATATATATATATATATATATATATATATATATATATATATATATATATATATATATATATATATATATATATATATATACTGTTAATTCAAATATTTTTATATACGTAAAAAATTATATAAACTGATTTATTATATATTTTTAAAAATAATAAACTATAACGAAAACATGAAGTCAATGATAAAAAAATTGAATATTAACGGGAATATAATGTTATTGATCAAACTATTCAATATTAACGAGAACATGAAGTTGTTGATCAAACTATTGAATATTAACGAGAACATAAAATTAATAATCAAAATATTTAATATATATATATATATATATATATATATATATATATATATATATATATATATATATATATATATATATATATATATATATATATATATATATATATAGTGGCGGAGCCAGAAAAATTATGAAGCCTGGGCAGTGGTGGGTGCATTCTAAGCGAAAGATGCATCCGTTTTAAGAAAAAATGTTTAAATAGTTAAGTGTAATCAAACCTGGATAACCCAGACGCTGATCAATGTTTCAAGACAGAAAAATCCAAATCCAATGAAGTAGAAAATCTACAAGAAAATGGACAAAAACTTAACCAGTTATCAGTTGTTCCGAAGCAGAAAGCAGCAAATCGATAAAAATAGAACCAATTTTCAGTCGTTTAGAAGCAGAAAGTTTTTCACTGATTGGATTCTGCAGTATTTGCTTTAGAGCTGTAATGTGGCTTGTGTGAAAAACGTTAAACTGGCTTAGCATGTGTGAAATTGTGTCAACAAATTGGAAATGTTACGACATATAACAATGAAACATACGCAGGAATCATAAACACTTCAAGATAAGCATACTCACCCCAACTAAAGTATAGTCACCAACTACATCTATGGCTGACAGAATGCCTCTGCATCAATAAGAAGACATTACTAAGCATAAGGCCAAAAAATGAGAATAACACAAGCTATATACATAGGAAATTAGGAACAAGCAACAAAGTCATGTTAAATGGGGTGTGTGTGTGTGGATAGTAAGTCAACATACGTCAATGATTTTCCTTTGAAAACTATAGGAGGAGCAACTGCAGCTAAGATACAGAATCCAAGGTGAAGCTGTAAGCAGAAAAAGAAATTAGGCTAATTTAATTTTGTCCAAATGCAAAACAAAGCTAACATGCATAAAGCAAAATAGTCAATACCAGGTAAAATATGAAAAACCATCCAAACTTAATAGCGCTGTCAGTCCTGCAAAAGTAACAAAGCAAAGAATCCATGATCAGGAGAGTAATCAAATCAGAAAGATCAATATATGGCTGGATACACAATCTTGCTACATCAGTGGGATCAGGGCCAGAGGAGGGGAACACCCAAGAAGATAAGAAACAGACGCAAAAAAGAGAGAGAAAAACTTAATTGAGGCCATTTATCGAACAGTTAGTGTGCAAGTTGCAAAACGGTGGTAACAACAACAATTTGATACTGATGCCATGGCCAATCTATGGACAAAAATATCCATTTACAAACATAGTATAATCAAGCAATTCATCAAACACTTGGCGGGCAAAATACAATCAACAGAACTAAGCTATATGTAATGCTTACTATGGGTATAACTTTGAAGAAGAAGATATGAGGCTAATTATAGAGAAACAATGTCTATGATAAAATTAAATCTATCGGATAAGAATGAAACAAACCTCCTTCAAGTTCATTGGAGGCAGTGAAAAGTGAAGGAGTTGTAGTCTTGTTCATTGTTCATCGTATTGAGGGAGAGAAGAGTTTCATGAAAGTGATTCGAGGCGGCCGAGCCTGGGCAGCTGCCCTAGCTGGCCGGACGCTGGCTCCGCCAGTATATATATATATATATATATATATATATATATATATATATATATATATATATATATATATATATATATATATATATATATATATATATATATATATATATATATATATATATATATATATATATATATATATATATATATATATATATATATATATATATATATATATTATTGATTTAAATATTTTTATATATTAAAAGAAATATAAGCACCGATTTATTATCTCTTTTAAAATAATAAAATGTTTGATTGAATAATTTAGTTTTTCTTTTATTTTTTTAAATTATATTTTGGGATCAAATGCGTGTATCATACTGGTACATGAAATTATTGATTAAATTATTGAATATTAACGAGAACATTAAATTACTAATCAAAATATTAAATTTTAACATGAATATGAAACTACTGATCAAAATATTGAATATTAATGGAAAAATAAGGTTATTGATCAAATTTTTTAATATTAACAGAAACATGAAATTACTGATCAAAATATTAAATATTAACGGCAACGAGAACATGAAGTTATTGATTAAAATATTAAATATTAACGGAAACATAAAATTATTGCTTAAAAAATTTAATATTAACAGAAACATGAAGTTTCTGATCAAAATATTAAATATTAATGAGAACATCAAGTTACTAATTAAAATATTAAATATTAACGGAAACATGAAGTTATTGATCAATCTATTGAATATTAAAAAGTACTTGAAATGATCAAAATATTAAATATTAACGAGAACATGAAATTAATGACCAAAATATTAAATATTAATAGAAAAATAAAAATGCTGAAACATATTAAAAATTAACGGAAACGTGAAATTAGTTGTCAAAATACTTTTTCATTAATTATACATTCAATTAATTTTTTTCCGTAACTATTAAAATTAATAACATTTTTAATAGTCAATGTTATCATTTATAAAAGTTATAATAAAAAAGGTATATTAATGTTTTCATAAAGAAAGTGTATTAGTTTTATGAAAATATTTATTGAAATAATATTTTTTTAATTAAAAATAAATGATATTTATTTATTCAAATTGATAAAAATATATTATTGTAATACAAATTCAAAATATTTAACTTTATTTATATTTTTATCTAATATACTAATTATTATTAAATATTTTATTTTATTTAAATTTATTTTTGAGTTTAAATATTCCATTAGTTTTTATATAAAAAAATAACCAGATTTTATATTTAATAATTTATTTAAATAACACTGAGAATTAAAAATATAAAGTAATAGATGTATGCGCCAACGGTATTAAAACAAGTTTTAAGATATGGACGGAAATGTCAGGCCAACGGTACTTCTTCCATATTAATTTAGTAGCAGTAGTATTCTGGTACTCACAAAAGTAGAAATAGTACTAAAGTACAACACAAGATTTAAGTCTACACAACAAACCAAAATCTCAAACCCTACTTCATTTTCCGATTCTATCTAATTCACCAGGTTTGTTCTTTCATTCTCCACGTCTCCTTCAATTCTCAACAATTCTTACGTTTTATTTTTAATTTTTTTAATTTTTTAGTCAATTTTTGCAAAAATATTATAAATAGAAATCCCCAATTACCCTAACTGTGTATTTTTATGAAAATTTTGAAAATCTATTAGTTCATTCTCTTTCATTGCTTTTGTATATCCCCGATCATTTGATGAAATTCAAACTAGTTTTTTTTAATTTTTTTTAGGATTTATTTTATAGTCTTTTTTTTTTTTCTTTTTAAATTTTTGATTGGATACGGCTGATGAGGGAGTGATGTTGCTTGAAATTTTAATTTTAGCTTTTGAGGGGTGGGGTTTTGATTTGTAGCAAGGTTATAAGAAAATTGAACTGGGGAGGGAGAAGATTTTTTTTATGGGTCTTGGATTGGGTTTTGTTGTTGTACCTAATTTGCTCTGTTTTTTTTTTTTTATATAGAAATGTTGCTTTTGTAGGGATAGTTTAGTTAGGGGCTATTAATTTGTGATTTACTTTTGGATTTTCAACATTATGAAGGGTGGAGCTGAAATGAAAATTTCTGGTTTCGGAAATTCTGTTGGTAAATTTTTGGGTACTTTTGACTTTTGCTTATCTTACCATCAGTAGGCTGGATGTTTAAGATTTGTTGGTCAGACCCAGGTTTTGAACTCTGGTTGTGGCTGCAGTTATGCTGTGACTCTTGATATTACGGATAAATGCAGAGGAATGTGGTTGATGCCGCTGCGATGCTTTTGCAAAGGCCTCCAAAACCTTCATATTGCATCTGCTATACAGCTGCAAAGGCCTCCAGAACCTTCATATTGCGGCTGCCATCGTGGTTGTGGACCGTAATGTCAAACTATGGCTGAAACATATTGCATAGTGTGTTACAGCTCAAGTTTTGAAGGATAACTAAATGTTTATCATAGTAATGGAGTAATTAACATATGTAGAGATTTTGTCCTTCCATTGATTTTCATTAATACATACTGCTTTTTGTGTGACAAATAATTAACATATTTAGCACTGTCGTATTTACTTTCTAATCTTTCTTTTTGCAGCTAAGCATCTAAATGAGTCTTCCACAGGATCCACCCAGATCATTTTTCCCCTTTGGAAATCCTTTCCGGATGATATCACCTAAAAGCTCTAAGTTATCTCCACAACTACTGGCAGTATTGCATGCTTTTGAGGAAACTTTGGAAGAGAGGCTGAAAAAGCTTATTCCTAAAAGCAAGGATGAAGTCAGCATGTCTTGGATGACTTTGGCTATGCAGGCACTTTGTGAAAGTCACAATGACATTAAAACCCTCATGTCAGACCTTGAGCTTCCTGTGACTGATTGGGATGAGAAATGGATAGATGTGTACTTGGACATTAGTGTGAAGTTGCTGGATATATGCAATGCATTTAGCTCCGAGCTATCACGTCTAAACCAGGGCCAGCTTTTACTTCAGTGCACGTTGCACCATTTAGGCTCGTCCTCGTCCGATAGGCTTTTTCGGGCATGCTCTTCACTTGATGGTTGGAGGCAGCGTATGAGTTCTAAAAACCCTAGAATTGAAAAATGTGGCAGCATTTTGGATAATCTGATTGAGTCATCGGATAAAAAGGTTAAAAAGTCAGCAAAAGGCACGGTTTTGATGCAAGCTATATATGGAGTAAAGGTGCTGACAGTTTTTGTGTGCAGTGTGTTTGCTACTGCTTTTTCAGGCTCTACAAAGAACTTGACTGATATGGATGTGGCCGATGTTTATACCTGGGCTCCATCTTTTAAGGGTCTGCAAAATCTTGTTAATGAAGAGATTAGAATTAGATTTTCAAGTGGGAAATTTACTGTGTTGAATGAGCTGGAAGCCGTTGATTTGTCTGTGAGGGAATTATACCCTATTATCCGAGGTAATATACATACAATTGAGAAAGAATCACATGCAAAAACTGTTGAGGAATTAGGCAAAGCAACAAAGAATTTTTCTCAAGGACTTGATCTACTTGCGAAGGAGGTGGATGGCTTTTTCCAAGTTGTCTTGTCTGGGCGTGATGCCTTGCTAGCTAATCTGAGGTCGGTTACACTCTGCAACGACCACATCTTGGGAGGGAAAAGTGATGCACAAGTGGTCAATTGAACATCTTGCTGCCTATATCTGGTATATACTTATGAATCTAGGTATTGAGTTTTACCTTGTGACTTATAATGTTATTCAATCTTATTTTCCTTGTATTGAAGTTATCTTTAGTAATAATAGGATTTATAATTGTATTATTGAACTGCTGAAATTTGTAGTTGTGGTATTCTGTGTATCAAAGTATAATAAAGTACGTAATTGTATAAAGAAAGTTATTTATGGTCTAAATGGTTGGTTAAGTTGTCACCTTGAAGTCTTAAGTGAGATTTTTGATGCCAGGGTCTACTAAAATAGCTTTAGCCCCTCGTAATCAGATTATTTAGATTGTACTTTCTGTGCATAGTGGTGGAGTTTGAACAAAACACTTGAGGGCGTGTTATTTTTTAAAGTTTTGTTTACTAACGTAAAACATTACTAGTAAAACATATGATTAATTAAAAAGTAAAATATAGTTTTTCCTGCCCCTCATTCCATAACTCATTTTTACAAAGATTCAAACATAAAAAGTCTCACGTATTTGTACTTAATGCAAAAAATTCACAAAATCAATTCCACAAAATAATTTGATAAAATATGAATACTATTAAATGAATGGATCCTGGTGACTCCAGGTGACTACATGTCTAAATCTACAATTTCAACGGTTAGAGGGAATGAATCATACACCGACATATATAATTATATTTAATTTATTTAATTTTTCAAATGACTGACATATATAATTATATTTAATTTATTTAATTTTTCAAATGATTATCGGTGATGTGTCTTGTGAATCTTTTTGGTCACTCAATTATGTCATATTAAATTGTTTATCAATTTTGTTCTCTACTAAGTAATTTTTGTTATTTTAGTCCATTGATTAATTATATGCAACAGAGTCTAATTTGCCTACTGATGAAAATTTGATTGCTTGTGAATCTTTTTGGTCACTTAATTATGTCATATTAAATTGTTTATCAATTTTGTTCTCTACTAAGTAATTTTTGTTATTTTAGTCCATTGATTAATTATATGCAAGAGAGTCTAATTTGCCTACTGAAGAAAATTTGATTGATGTAGTGGCTCCCAGGTTTGTTTCTAAATTTGAAGGTCACTTAGATCATATACCATATATGCTTCAGTGATGATGGGAAGTGGCTTCTGTCATGCAGTATGGATGGAAGTCTTAGAAGTTTAGATGTGATCTTAGCTAGACAAATAGATTATATACAACTTGATTTGTCTTTCACAACATTATCTTTGTCCTCAAACATGGATTTATTAGCAACTACACATGCTAATCAACATATGGCAAGTTTTCAAATATATTTACTTTATTCTTTAAACACGAGACTTTTGCCTAAACAGAAATAAAGCACAGTATATAGAAGGTAAGTTCAACAATAGGAGATAGGAGAAGTGATTTTAAAAGAGGTGAAAGTTGGTAAGTCATGTTGTTTAAATATCTTAGGTTTGTAATACAAAATGATAGAAAAATAGAAGATGTAAACCATTGAATTTAAGTTGAATTGTTGAAACGGAGGAGGACTTCAATAGTTTTATGTATAACAAATGTACCACTCAAATTGAAAGGAAAATTTTATGACTTGCAATGTCCCACGAGACAGAATGTTGGGCCGTTAAAAGTAAACACGAGAATAAAATGAACGTAGTAGAGATGAAGATATCGTGTTGGAGGTGTGGTAAAACAACACAAGATAAGATTAAAAACAACAATATTAGAGAGAGTTATTAGGCAACATCTATAATAGAAAATATGATGAAAAATAATTAGAGATACAGGGAGATCAAGAAAAACTATAAGTGATTCTACTATAAGAGAAAATCTGTAGATCTTGTAGTAAGGAGAGTAGATCACATAGGGAAGAGACAAACAATTAGAGATACAAGAAGATTAAGAAAAATTATAAGAGAAATTATTAAGAAAGATCTCGATATTAACTATTTGGTGTCTTGAATATTATGACAGAAGTTGATTCATGTAGGCAAATTTCACTTAGTGAAATAAGACTTAGTTGTTCTTATTGTACTCTTTCCATTCTTTTTTAATTATGATTTTTGTGAAAATTTTATTTCTTTTTAATTGTCACTTTCAAATTTCGAAATAGTGTTAATGATAGTTTTGTCAAAATTACTCATAATTATTTATGATAGAGAGAGAAAAAATAAGTTAAAATAATAAAAAATTAAAAAAAAAAAAAAATTATTGCTTAAAAGTGACAACAATCATTAATTTTATTGATATCCTTAAAAAAATAAAAATAAATGACAATTAAAAAGAAAATGAGGGAGTATATATTTAAAAGCTTGTAAGGAAACTTTTAGAGGATGTGCCACAAGTATTTGGAAATACCTTGCTTGTTGCAACTTTCATTGCCAAATCTTGGTCTGTCATTATTGACACGAGACCTTTTTTACACTTATTACCTCTATCTATGTTTAAAACAACCATTTAAAAGATTTCTTTATATAATCTTGCAACAAAGCGCAATCAAATAAGATAGACTGAAAATGGTCATTCAACCCTGTAAAAGGAGCAAGTGACATGTAGTATTTGTTAGTTTTATATGTTGTATAAAATGTAACAACATCTCTAAAAATCTTGTAATTCATTCTAGATATTTCGTCAAGCCAAAAACATTAATCATTCTATCTTCATCATCGCATTGTATTACATAAAAAAACATTAGTATTCTCAGCTTGCTTTGACTTACAAAAGTTAAAAATAGCTTGAACATATCCAATATCAAGATTCCTCCTTTGAATATTTCTAAGATGATTCCAACGATCTCTATTATAAAAATGCATATCGCCATTATTGAACATTTGAGCAACCTTTTTGGGAGGCATTCCTTCTCCATCAAACTGCTCAACAAGACTTTTAGCGAACATGCTCATTTGCTTATGACACCAAAGATAATTCACACTTCTATGGGTATGAAAGACAAATATGATTATGAGGATTACTAAAGGTTTTGATAATCCATTTACGTCTTTTCCATGTTTTTGAAACTATAAGTGATGTCTTACAATTAGTTCTAAAAATTGAGCATTTATTTATTTATTTTTTTCTAAGGAAACATTGTGCTTTTCTTTGTTGTTAATCTTTGTTGAATGTTTATGTTTTGGATTGGGCCCGTGTTTGGCCCAAGACATAACACAAGACCCAATTCAGTGCTCTTTGGTAAAGGGCCCAATAATATGCGTGTTAAGGAGCGTACACCCACTCATCTGTCAGGCAGGATATTGCCCGACCCTACCAACGAATAGAGCCGTTGTGGTGCCCTGGTGTTTCCAGTGATTTCTGGTAAACAACCGCTAGTCTTCCAAACTATCGAATAATCTTTCTGACTGTTATTCAATTTCTCTGGTAACCCACATGATCGACTAGATTGATCCTAGGACTCCTTGGATATTAAGGTTACTCTTACGATCGAACAGATATTCATGGTTGATATTGTATATGTGTTTGGCTTATTTCGATTTCTCTCTCTAAAAGTTTAAAGATGTAATCAAAATGTGTGTGTGAAAACTAAGTTACATGAATAAATGCTAATTGTAAAGACATGTAAAATTGCATAAAAGTGAAGTAAATGGTTTCGACTTACAAAACAGTTAATATAAAGGATTTCTGGAACGTAAAAGGTTTGAAATATGAAGAAAGCGTTTAATGCAAGAAATCTTTAAATGACTTTAAGTAAAAATATGCGTTCGAAGGATAAG